AGCTTTTAACTAAGTTTTGTCCTTACTGGTATATCATTCATCCTGGTAAAAATAATTGTAGCAATAAGTTTTTTGCTATATGACAAAGGCAAGCAGCTGTATGACAAAGGGAAGAAGGAAGAGTTTTATACTTTTGTCACTAAAAAATTTACCCTCAACCAACACTTCAACATTCATAATATCTTCAGACTTATCAACATGCAAGTCTTACATTGACATACAACACCCCAATTAGGATGTGCTGTATCAATACAGGTACATACATACATAGACCTTAGAAATAGATATCTTTCTAAGGTCTAACATGGCATTAGATAAATCAAGGTCACATGATGGTAAGGCTCAGAAAAAAATGTTAGGGTTTCTAGTCATGCATCGCACACATCAGTCATAATTGTGTACTTTTTTTTGTCCGAATTTTACAAAAAATTAAAGACAATTTTGAAAAGCAAATTGACCAGAAACTTTTTTTTTCTGGGCCTAACTGCATATATTAATTCATAACTGTATAAATGGTGTAGTCACAGTTGCAAACGGTGAAATTATCAACAAATCACATACTGGTGAGTAGAATCAGTGACTGAATGTAAACATCACCCACTCTTGAGGTGAGGCGAGTTCCGATCATGCAGAAGTACCTCTACTGTTCTAGTGTTTTTCTAAAGTGAAACAAATGCAGACAGTGATAGAGGTACTGTGACAAGTGTAACGCACGAGAAAAGGTACATTTTTTGTTGTATTTAGGGCAGCGTACTCTGAACCAGTATTCATTTACAAAACTACAAGCTACAATTAACATTGAAGTGTTACGCATATCGCATACGTTGATATCCATGGATAAATAGTGCTCGGCGAGCGAGCAATACATGTGAATTCTGACGCTAGATTTCCCATCCTAACAACGAGGTTGGGGATTAACGGCAACACTCACAACAAAGTGAATCCTGAAACTTGCGTTGCTTACTAGGTTACTTCGTGCTTTGTATTGGGAATTTGACAAAAAAAGAGGACTCATGACGACCACGCAACATAGTTTTAATGACTACACGTTTACCGGTTAGCTCACATGTACTGTCGAACGCTTCCGGGTACGAAGAACAAGCCGAAAAACAGAAATAGACGGTACAGACGAACGATAACAAACAAATATCATGAGCTAGTCAGCCATATTGAAAAGCTGTAAAATAACCGACATGTTCAACACACGCATTTCAGTGAATGTTTCACAAGACTGGTAACACGATCCGTCGTAACTAGTTGCGCCAAGAAAACACTTCCATCGACTGTCAGTTCCAAGATTGAAACTGGCCGCCATGTCTGAAAACTGGAACCAATTTTGCAGTATCATTCCGCCCGGGAAAAATCACTTCTCCCATGACCCCAAACTGACGAACTATATAATCCCACAAATGAGCCCCAAAATAGCATTATTTCGGCAAATATGTAGATTTTCGGAACATAAATCGCACTCAATGTCTTAAAGAATAATCATACGCCTTACCTGAAAGAATATCAGCCCGAAGACGTGGTTTTGGTGGCCGACCGCGCGGCATTTTGGTATATTTTTTCTCTTCGAGGAAAAAGAAAATGGCGGTGAACAGGACAACGTTGGTGACGTCAGCTGATGAAAAGTGCCCGGATGTAGCACCATGCTATTTTGTTGTCTGTACTTATAATCGGCGTGTGAGTACGTGCATATAGATATACCTTAGTATATGGCTTATGGTTGGTGTGTTCGCGTGAAAAACCCTGCGAACACAAAAATATATATGGCAAATCATGAAAATACATGTAATACAGACATTTTTTTTTCAGTTTAATAAAATATTATTCAATCCAATCAGTGGCGCATCCATCTAACCACGGCATAAATATTGCCCGTCTAAAACATTAAAACTTGGGGAGTTGTCACATCTTTTACATGCAAAATCGAGTATTACAACTACAACAGCTGAAGTAATACAAATACAAATCTGTATTTGTTGGTTGAACTCCGTTTTTTCTATTGTGTTTACATATTTACTTTCGCGAATATTAGGTTG